GAGTGTTGCGACCAGATTAGACGCTCCTTGTGTTTATTATTATATTTCGAAAACACCACAGTTTTCATGCAGCTCATACCATATTATTTTGTTGTATTAATTCCGCCACACCTTAAATGCCGGTCCCTGAAAATATTGTCTGACTTAAACCGGTCCGTGGGGCAAAAAAGGTTGGGGACCCCTGGTCTACATAACTCTTAATATGTTACGTGAACATACTAGGCACATTCACAGTTCGTTGTTTAAGCATCATGTAACGTTAGCATGTGGTACACTTATTCAGCCTGTTGTTCTCTAGTTTTATTTTTATTTTAAGTTGCCTTTTAAGATGACATGTATGTTTTTGGTGTTCGATTTTATCAAATAAATTTCCCCCAAAAATGCGACTTATACTCCAGTATGACATATATGTTTTTTCCTTCTTAATTATGCATTTTTTGGCTGGTGCGATTTATAATCCGGAGCGACGTATCATCCGAAAAATACGGTAATCATGCACCAGGGCCCGGAAACAGAAGAAATTTCACAAACAGGCTAACTAGCGACTACAAGCTAGCAATAGAAGACAACTTCAACTTGTGAGCTGTATTGCTCACGATCTGCCTGAACTCAACTCAACTCTGTCTGTATGAATTGAGTTAATATTTAGGGCACACTGCATTATAAGGCGCATAGAATAGAAGCTGCAATAGTGGCTGCGGTGGTGCTATGAATCCACCAGATGGTGGTACACTTAAGGGAATACAATACAATACAGCTTTATTGAAATAGAACCTTCATAACCGCTGCAGCTGTAACAATTGAGAGCTGGTCACAAACACGGACAGGAAACATATAAATACAAATGGCATTACAAAACAAGAAATGAAAGACAAAAGTTATGAAGACAATTGATTCAACAAAAGGGCTCACATCCACAAGGGGCTAAATATCCTTCGAAGTCTTGCTTGTCTCCTTCTTCCTTCGTTTAGTCAGTAGTTAACTAAGTTTTTGGTATTATCTTCGTATCATAATGGCAGCGCGGAGCTCAGAAAGTAGTTGTCTGTTTGAGTGTGTGTGTTGGCGAATGCACGTGTCTCTTAGTGTCGGGTAGATCCCTTTTAGGTTACAATTGCTGATAATCACCAATAGATGGCATAGGAACATTAACAGGTAAACCTCACTAGGGAATGTAGAGACTGGAACACCATATATAAGGCGCATTGGATTATAGGGCGCGCTGTCGACTTTTGGGAAAATTGAATGCTTTTAGAGGCGTCTTAAAGTGCAGAAAATACAGTTTTATTATCCCAAAGTGCCCTGTGGTCCTTTTTTTTACGTTTTTGAAAATAAATGCTTTTTGAGGGCCTTTCTGCCTTGCTTCCCTACATGTGGGTCCTCCCCCAAGCAAACCATGAAAGCTAACAAATACTACTGTTACTAAAAAAGGGACAAAACCGAAAGTCAGACAACAACAGCTTAAACCTTTGCCTGTGGCAACACTTGACCCTGGAGTTTTTTAAAAAATGCATTCTTCTCTTCTTCGCAGTGAAAAAATGCTTCCAAATCTGAACTGAACTAAGACTAAGCATCAAACTTGGAACAGATTGTGTTTATCCTTGGAAAAAAATTGTAAAAATCTGTTCATGTTCTCTTTGGAACAGAATCTGCGACAGAAAAAAAGTGAACTTAGGGTGACAACTAATAATTTTGTGCTCTCAATAAAGAATGACTCATTTCTTGAATTCTTTGCCCCCACGCCCCCCAAAAAATAGCAATATCTCAAATGTAGCAAAGGAGGGAGATGCTTAATTTACAATGATTTTGATGAACACGTGCACAAAAACCCTGAAACAAGCCCATCCTCCGGTTGACATTTTATCAGTGCAGTTATTGTGATGCATAAACAACAGATGGTGGCACCAGAAGAAACCCTTCTTCTAGTGCCACCATCTGGCTCCTTCCAGTTCCACATTCAGGGATCAATTATGTCCGGATAAAACATTTTGCGGGCCCACCTGCTACCTCCAAAAACATGTTTACTCTATTTCACACAAGCACCTGCTGTACATGATAAAATTATGTGTACACACAAATATGAGGAGCTACCAACACCTTTCTAGATGCGGGATAGAAAGACTAAGTTGAAGTCACAGTGGAAAGACGCATTTATTTTTTTCTCGTCTTGCTGCTACCACTCCAATTCTTATTTTTCACGAGTGATGACCTTTTAAAATTCAGTGATTTTATATCTCAAGATCAAACAAGCACAAAGCTGACAACTTATTGTACATACCTTATCTAACGATTCTGTGAGGATGAACCGTTTAAATCGTATCCACAACTTTTGATCCACAAGGCAGCCAGTAAATCCAGCTGAGGTCTCCAGTTATTGGCACTGAAAGGGAAATATTGCAGGCTTTAGAATTTAATCATTTATCGTTCTTGGTCTATGAATCGATCCGTCCTTTAGCTGTCTCCTCAGCCACACAATGCTACAACAGCTTCACTTCACACTGATCCCTGTTTGTAACATGTTTGTCCAAATAGTTTTTAGGCTTCCTTCAATTGTTTGCCCAACTTAGTTGTCCTGTCGGCGTGAGTTGGCTTGCCTGCATGGGGCTAAATATAGGGACGACACAAGGTGGAGGAGAAAAGAAAAACAGGAAACATCCAAACTTGAATCAAAATACGCGTGTGGATTTGCTCATGCGGTCGACTATTGTAGCCCAGTAAAATTCAGGCTGATTTAACAAGCAACACGAGAGTCATAGTTCCAAACGAGTGAAACATTTTTGAGTGACTCATTCCCCTATCGTGTTTGTTATTCTGCCCACTTCCCAAACGGAGTGGTCATAGAATGCATTTGTGCACGCGTGCGTGCGTCTCCATTGTTCTGGATTCGTGTGTGTGAGGGTCAGCCCATCCCATATTCCCCTCTAATGACGTAATTTGCATTGTTTTGTCCCTATGGGCTTCTAAAAATGTCTGCCTAAACAAAATACACCGACCACACATCCTGCTGCCTGGCTGGACAAAAAGAATACAAGCCCTACTTTTATTGTCTCACGGTTTCAAAAGGGGTTCAGGGAGATTGGTGCTCTGGGGTTAGTGCGTGCATGTGTGTGAATGCAGGCATTCTACTCATACTAATTACTGATCAAATGGAGAGAAATGTTGTTGATTGTTCTCAATCACGGCTACACTGCGACATAGCGGCTAGCTTCACGGTCAAGAGCTTCAGGGTTTTGAATCTCATCTCAGGCCCTGCTGTGTGGAATTTTCCTGTCAGATTTCAAAAATGGCACGTAAGGTTATTTGGTGACTCCTAATTTTCGATGCGTGCGTGAATGCTTATTTGTTCTGTGGCAGGCTGGCGACCAGTTCAGGGTGTACTCCACCTCTCGCTCAAGGGCAGCTGGGATTGGCTCCCATGACCCTAGTGAGGTCAAGTGATATAGAAAATGGATGGATGAATAGTTGAATAGTTCTATTCGAGGGTATTCAGAAATGCAATGGAAAATCTACACAACAACTTGTAACAAAATATTGTCTACAGTGGCCAGGAACACTTTGTAAAGTAGTTTGTAAAGTAGGTACAGGAAATGATTGTCCTGTTAAAAGGGCTCCGGGAAGCAATGATTAGGCAACTAATGATTGCTTTTGGCCACATTTGCTCCGTTCACTTGCCTGCACTTTTCACAAAACCAAGTCTATTTGACCAAGAGTACAGTACAGTACACCATCATTTTCCTAACATAATGGCCTAACTCCTTTTTTTTAGGTGAGAAAATATGAAAAACTGAACCACGTATTGATTACCGGTACATCATATCCCTGGAGAACCCACGGGGTCAAATTTGGCCCCTATAAATTCTGCTACTTAAATGCTTCCCTTAAATCCCAAAGTCTCACGGTTTCAAAAGGGGTTCAGGGAGATTGGTGCTCTGGGGTTAGTGCGTGCATGTGTGTGAATGCAGGCATTCTACTCATACTAATTACTGATCAAATGGAGAGAAATGTTGTTGATTGTTCTCAATCACGGCTACACTGCGACATAGCGGCTAGCTTCACGGTCAAGAGCTTCAGGGTTTTGAATCTCATCTCAGGCCCTGCTGTGTGGAATTTTCCTGTCAGATTTCAAAAATGGCACGTAAGGTTATTTGGTGACTCCTAATTTTCGATGCGTGCGTGAATGCTTATTTGTTCTGTGGCAGGCTGGCGACCAGTTCAGGGTGTACTCCACCTCTCGCTCAAGGGCAGCTGGGATTGGCTCCCATGACCCTAGTGAGGTCAAGTGATATAGAAAATGGATGGATGAATAGTTGAATAGTTCTATTCGAGGGTATTCAGAAATGCAATGGAAAATCTACACAACAACTTGTAACAAAATATTGTCTACAGTGGCCAGGAACACTTTGTAAAGTAGTTTGTAAAGTAGGTACAGGAAATGATTGTCCTGTTAAAAGGGCTCCGGGAAGCAATGATTAGGCAACTAATGATTGCTTTTGGCCACATTTGCTCCGTTCACTTGCCTGCACTTTTCACAAAACCAAGTCTATTTGACCAAGAGTACAGTACAGTACACCATCATTTTCCTAACATAATGGCCTAACTCCTTTTTTTTAGGTGAGAAAATATGAAAAACTGAACCACGTATTGATTACCGGTACATCATATCCCTGGAGAACCCACGGGGTCAAATTTGGCCCCTATAAATTCTGCTACTTAAATGCTTCCCTTAAATCCCAAAGGGTCAAATTTGGCCCAAATCCTAAATTAGGATTAATTCATCATTTTCCAAAGAAGAAAATGGTTCTTTGGGTTCTCCAGGGATATTTATGAATAATATCATTGCATGGGGTGGAATTGCATGATCTAAGAACGCTTTTAGCAGAGATGGCCAGCATCTTGAGGATGTGTGGAAGGCAAAAACAAAAAAACTTCTTACATTAAAAAATCAAAAATCAAATACAGTTGGGTGTGGGGGTCAAAATATGACTGAGGCCATTATTTTCAGGATGACGATATGGATTTTAGCATATCTTCAGAAGACCAACAATTGCTGTGGTGATCACCCTAACACAAGCAGCTCTAAAACTAGCTGATACTGTATGACACAATTGGGATTTTTAAATGACATGTAACTGGAACATAGCCTTGAAAATCCATATTGCAAATATTCACGCGTCTTTTCGACCATGGCTACGAGCCTTCTATTGATACCACAGTAAGAGATCAGTAAACTGAACATGATGTGGTCCTCTGAGAATTTTCATTGTAAAACAACTACAGCATGACAGAGGCCGGCTCGACTTACCTTTCAGTGAGCCACGCAAGCCGCTATCCGTCCCATAATCTTCAGTTGTCCGACCTCACAGAGTCACAAAATAGTATTCCACGAAGAGGTGAACTCCGTAGAGTAACTTCCTCGTGCACTCTCTCTCTCTTCCTACCCGCCGTCTCTCACACTTTGCATCTATTAATAGATTGTCCATTTACTGGGAAACAAAGGTTAGACGCTGGACAAAATCGGCTGTGGGGGCTAGTGACTGAAAATAAGGGGTAATGGGTAATGAGAATAGAGTTATAATTTTTTTAAAGGTGACATGAAGGATGAAAAATGACACCACGCAGGACAGTGTTCCCTCCAATTTTCCACGCATCTGAGCATTCACAAGTCCCTGAGCCTTGCTTAGATCACAGTGAATAACATCATACATTAAGAGGGTGGCTATACCAGAATCACACCAGTCCAAAAGAGAAATCATAACAAGTTACCTAATACTGGTATATTAAAAAAATCTAACCACCTACAATGTTGTGAAAAAGTATTTTCCCCCTTCCTGATGTCCGTATTCTTTGCATATTTATCAAATACAAATGTTTCAATTCATCACAAAAAAATATCACACAGAAACAACCCAAGGAAATAAAAAATGCACTTTCTAAGTGCCAGTTTAATTTGTTAAGGCACAAAAAAAATTTCAAAAACTACCTGTCTCTATGTTAAAAAGTAATTGCCCCCTGAACCTACTAATAGGCTGTGCCACCCTTGGCAACAATAACTGATATCAAGTGTTTGCGATAATTGGTGATGAGTCTTTCACATCGCTGTGAAGAATTTTGGCCCATTCTTCTTCGCAGAAATCAGGAAAGGGGGCAAATACTTTTTCATGGCACTGTGCATACCAAAATTACACAAGTGTGGACCTGTCAATGTGGAGTAGAAATATTTTGAATGAAAAATACTTTGAATGCATTCACAAACACATTCAAACATACTCGTTGGCTAAATGCTACAAATGTAGCATTTACCCATAATGCCATGGTAGTATTCATGTGTGCATGAGCCACTCAAGAAAAAGCAATTTTTAACACATTTTTTTAAATCATTTGGCCGACACTATACTAAATGAAATAAGCAAACATTGTTCATTTGGGGCAGCACGGAGGTCAACTGGTTAGCATGTCTGCCTCACAGTGCAGAGGTGCCGGGTTCAATTCCAGCACCGGCCTTCCTGTGTGGAGCTTGCATGTTATCCCCGTGTCTGCGTGGGTTTTCTCCGGGTACTCCGGTTTCCTTCCACATTCCAAAAACATGCATGGCAGGTAAATGGAACACTCTAAATTTTCTAGCGCAGATGGTTGTTCATCTTTGTGTGGCCTGCGATTGGCTGGCAACCGGTTCAGGGTGTCCCCCGCCTACTGCCCAAAGACAGCTGGGATAGGCTCCAGCACACCCCGCGACCCTTGTGAGGATAAGCGGACCATAAAAATGGATGGATGGATTTACAATGTCAAGAGACACCCAAACCAATCACCTTTATATTTAACTGTTCGTCAAAAATTACCAGCCTGCATTGCTTCAATGTGATGTTTTGAAGAAACCAGTTTGAATTAAATGGACAAGCAGACACTTGACCTCTTAAAAGAATTTAAATAACCATATTCACTTGTACTAGGTGGACAAAATAATCAGGTTTTCGCAGTTTGTCGAAATGTGAATATGGCCTTTGAACACACGCGGACGTCATTTTAATAACACCTGACGAAAAGAAAACATACATTTCATACAACTGTGTTAATATTCTTCACAACACGGTACATATAATTTACGATTTCATCTTGGGCGTTGCATGCAGACTATGTGAACGGGCTTTTGCTGTACATGAAAAAGTGCATTTGTCGAATGTTCTCTTCGATATGAAAGCAAAAAAAGCAAACGCGTGTTCCGAGGGCATCAACTCTGTAGGAACATAAGAAACAGGCTAAGCTTTGAAGTAAAAAAAAAAAAAAAAAAGCCATTTTCGAGTTACCACTGCATCATGTGAAGAAGGCACATGAGCAAAATAACTATCGATCTGCAAAGGGGTGTCATTGTCATTTGACCTTTTGACATTACAGGGTCAAATAATTACTTTTACATTCAAATTGGAAAACTTTCCAACCCTCGTTCGTGCTTCCTGTTGGAGCTCAAAGGCAAGTTCAATGGCAGTCAAAACTATCAGCTGATGTTAGCATGTGCATGATTGACAAGCGGTGAACACATTTGCCTCGGCATTCCAGGATTGGAGTGGTGCGATTCTTGGCCCTGGCCATTCCTTTGGGGAGTTTGCAAGTTCTCTCTATGGTTATGTGGGTTTTCTCCAGGTACTCCAGTTGCCTCCCACATTTAAAAACTGTGCCTGTTAGGTAATCGAAGACTACATTTTCCTTAGGGGTCCATGGTATGGTTAACATACATTTAATGTTGGTGGCAGGGTGACCCATGAAAAATTTGGGGTTCAGCTTTTGAAGTAACACTCTGTGTAAAGAACATTTCTTGAAATGACATGACAAACGAGGTGAAGGCAATGTAATATTTATAGTCAAATTAACATACCACCTATGAGATCATACATTTTAGTTTATTCAAAAACACCCACATTAAGTATTAAAAATGTCATATATATATATTTCAAATCTATTAAATAGAAGAAGTCAGTCATCACACTCACAGTGAACAGATGGGGAATGCAGAAAGAAAATGAGACTCATATGAGTGCAATGTTCAGATATGTTTCAAGTGTTTTGCAATTTGGGCAAATTTGCTAGAAACCAAACCAGGAAGATTTCACTCATGTTGCTGATTGAATCTGAGAACTTTTTTTGAAGCTGCTCTTCTCAAAAATGCTCTTTCGGGAGATGTGTACGTATGTATGTGTGTGTGTGTGTGTGTGTGTGTGTGTGTGTGTGTGTGTGTGTGTGTGTGTGTGTGTGTGTGTGTGTGTGTGTTTCAGTCTCTTATGGCCCAGTCCAGTCAATTCACACTCACTGTGTGTGTGCCGATGTTTGGCGTGTCACTGTCTCCAAACAATAGTTTGGTTTTTCAGAGGGAGTGAAGCCTGGCAGGCATACACACCGGTAGGAACCCACTGTGTTGATGCATCTTGCATTTTTACACAGCGACATGCGATCGTTGAGTTCCGAACATTCGTTTACATCTGGGGGATAGACAAAAGAGAGCCACGTCAGTAATAATATGAAGTCATTTCAGCGGAACGACATTGTGCCCTGTGCGTGCGTTGCATATGGACTTGGCTCTTACCGATGCAGGCCATGCGAGGCGGGTCCAACGTGTAGCCATCAAAGCATTCACAGGTATAACCCTCTTGGACTCGAACACATCGACCGTTTTCGCAGCCATTCAATATGCCGCACTCCTCTGCTCGCAAGCCCTCGAATGCCTTGAATGGGTCTGTCAAATTAATGATGACAAAGTTTGCATTTTTGAAATGAATGTCGTGAAGGATGCCGGTAATTTGGTTCTTAGTCTGGACCAAAACAGAAAATGAATCTGTCATCTTCATGTCTTAGTAAACTCAAATTTCAAAACTTGATCATGTCTAACAAAACTTTGTGTTCCTATGGTTTTGCAGTGTATGTACCACCAACAGTAATCCCGGCTGGATTACTATAATGCACTTTACTTTGAAGTCAGCCAATCCTCCAATCAGCATCTCCAGTTGGTCCACAATGCTGCTGCTTGCCTCTTGACTGGTACTTGTAAGAGGGAACAGATAACTCCTACTCTGGCATCCCTTCACTGGCTCCCTAGACATTTTAGAGTTCTTTTTAAGATCCTATTATTTGTTTTCAAATCTCAAAATGGCTTCGCTCCACCTTACCTCTCTGAGCTCCTGCGCCCTACACACCTACCCGGCGCCTCAGGTCTGCGGACCAGACATTATTAGAGGTACCAAGAACTATGCGGCGGCTCAGAGGGGATGGAAGGTGGTTGTTTTAAAGTGCTCTATAAATACAGTTGAGTCATTCATCCATTATCAAGACCGCTTGTCCTCGTAAAGGTCACGGGTGAGATGGAGAGAGACTGTACACCCTGGACGGGTCATCAGTCAATTGCACGATATATACAATGTACGGTTGTGAGTTCGCCAACGTCGTATTTATTATTTAGAAGGGTTATTTGATTATACTTGGCAGATCAATAATGTTTGTAATTACAATACTTGATTAAATTAGAAATAATGGCAAGGTGTTTGCTACTAGTGCTAGCTCGTAACTGGTAGCTAACTCATTCAGCAATGAACTTTGGTGCACACTAGCTCCATGTAAGTTAAGCTGTTGAGTCTTGTATGTGATGTTTACCTTAACCGTTTTAAATGGGCATCCTAGAACACCTCAGCAACTGAAAAGTAGCCCGACATTGCGGTCTCACGAGATCATCATCATAACAATTTGATGCGACTCCCAGTTCTCTTTATTTAACAAGCATAAATTAAAAAAAAAAAAAAAAATAGAAGACAAGCCGTCTACATCAGGGGTCCCCAACCGCCGGTCCGCGGACCGGTACCGGTCCGCAGGGCATTTGGTACCGGGCCGAACAGAAAGAACTTGCCTTAATTCCGTTTTATTTATAGAGCTCGCAAAATGAGTAATAAAACTGCTGGAGAGCGCAAATGACGGCGGCGTTAAAAGTACGTTCGAGACAACTGGATTAAAGTTATGGCTGAATATTCTGAGATCGCCACAGTAGCACTGTTTCTATTTCCCACATGCTACCTGTGTGAGGAGGGGGTTTTCTGCAGCAACGGCGACTAAAACAAAATTACGAAGTAGACTGGACATAAAACACACACTTGAGGTGTCATTGTCTCCTATTACCCCGAGATGGGACCGTCTGGTTGCAGAAAATCAAGCTCGGGGCTGTGGTGAGTCGTCATTTTCATGCACTTTGAATTTGCGTTGTATCGTATTTTGAAGGCATTAAACATTACCATTGCGATCAGAGAGAGTGTTGCGGCCAGATTAGACGCTCCTTGTGTTTATTATGATATTTCGAAAACACCACAGTTTCCATGCAGCTCATACCATATTATTTTGTTGTATTATTTCCGCCACACCTTAAATGCCGGTCCCTGAAAATATTGTCTGACATAAACCGGTCCGTGGGGCAAAAAAGGTTGGGGACCCCTGGTCTACATGACTCACTTTGCCATGCAAGTAGGTAGCTGTGAAGATGTAATTCTCCTTTCTGTTGACAATTGCCCGAGCAGTGAAAACAGTAGGTTTCTCCACTACATAAAGATGAACATCGGACCACTTTGTAACATATTCCTCCCACTCTGTAACCCCATAATACTGATGCGCAATGTCAGGATCCTGTTAGAAGGGGCAAACTGCAACATTACTCACACAAGATGGCAGCAAAGCACTGAAGAACAACTTTGGGTGACATTTGTGGTCAGTGAGGAAAGCTGGCCGGTCAGTGTGCCCCTTTTTCATTCATTAACTGTTTAGTGGAAACACTCAGATAAAACTAGGATCGAGTCACACAAAAGATGGCTCTGTGTGTGTGTGTGTGTGTGTGTGTGTGTGTGTGTGTAATAAGAAAAGTTACACAAGTCACATTCTGTTCCACAACAAGGTGGAGGCAAACCTCCCTGTTCTGGAGCCCAAATAGAAGGTTGATTCTTTTCACCTGAACATTGTTTCAATCAGACTTGGGAGTAACTGAATATACAGTACATGACTGTATATCAGTACATGTATTCATGATATATACATACCGTAAATTCCGGATTACAAGACACTACTTTTTTTCCACACTTTCAACACTGTGGCGTGTAAGATGAAGTGGCTTTTTAATGATTTTTTTTCCATCGTGGGAAAAACATGGACCAATAAAATGAATGAGTAGTTCACTGAGGTCCAATGAGATTGTATGACTAATCACAACTTCCACTCTTCTCGCCGGAGCGGGGAAAAATGTGTTACCTGGCAACAGTCGACCAATAAAATGAATGAGTAGTACACAGGGGTCCAATGAAATTGTATGATTACCGGTAATCACAACTTCCTTATTTCAGTCTTTCTTCTAACCCTGATCAACATGGAGAATACCAGACGAAAAGCATATGATGCAGCTTTTAAACTAAAAGCGATCACTCTGGCAGTTAAAGAAGGAAATCGAGCTGCTGCCCGTAATCTTGGCATAGACGAGTCGATGGTGCGAAGGTGGAGGCTCCGGCAAGAAGAACTGAGCCAGTGTAAAAAGACAACCAAAAAGACCCATGCACATTTGATTTGCCTCTCACTCGGACTGGAAATAAAAAAGGTGACTCCTCCGTCATACTAAAAACAAGCGGCCACGAGAGAACACATTGTACCTGTGTTTTGAGCTGCGCAGCATCTGGCCTAAAGCTGCCACCGATGATCATTTTTAAGCGGCTGACTATAGAAATAATTTCATATATCTTTTCCCATTTATATGATTTGCATTATTCTATTTAAAGCCTAGTGGGCTGCAGTATTTCTCCTCGTAATTACGCAAATGCGCATCAAGATCTCTCTTTGTCTGGCCTCTTATTATGTGTTTCAGCGTAATTTCGTTGTACAAATGCATTTATCATGCTCATAAAAATATGGAGATTATTTTAACCTTAAGAAATTTTTTCTGCGGGGGTTCAGCGGGGGACCGTGTCTGCGGCCTCACCCGGAGGCGCTCCAGGCCGCAGGGACGCAGAATCAAACCCCCGTCTACTCATTGGCCAGCGGTTTATAGTATGGTGCGGCGCATATAATGACAAAATTGATTTTTCTTCATAAATCTGAGCATGCGGCTCTTAATCAGGTGCGGTCTGTAGCCCGGAATTTACGGTATATTATGTATATCAGGATAACTGTAATCAATGACAGTTTCAGAAATAACGGTCAGATGCAGAGTTATTGTACAGTTATTAAAATGTGTGATTATTTGTGTGCATGTGTGAGACAGGTGCGGGGCATTAAATTAACTGCTAAGTTTGTCTTCAGAAGATTAATTTGTCCTGTTTTTCCATGTCACAAGTTATACCAAACACTGTTCATGTGGCAAGGTATGAAAAACTTTATGAAACTAAAAAAAAAAAAAAACCAAACAACATCTATCGCAATTTCCCTCATGGGATAAAGTCATCTATCTATCTGCAGCAGCACGGTAAACAAGTGGTTACCGCGTCTGCCTCACAATTCTTATGTTTGGATTCATACTTTGGATGCTCCGGCATCCTCCTATATTCCAAAATCATGCTTCTTGGACATCCAGAACACAGGGGGGAAATGTGTGTGTGTTTATGTGTGTGTATATATATATATATATATATATATATATATATATATATATATATATACACACACACACACACACACGTAATTTGTTTTGTTCTTTTTTCATATTGGAGTAATCCAAAGGTAGTTCAACGTAATCAATGGAACCTGGATTACATTGCGAACTACAGTACATTTTGAACATGGAACTAGTTACTGTATCTGAATACCTTTTTAAATCAACACTGACAATCCTGTTGACATTTAATGAGTAAATTGAGGACCCTGTACAGCAGAATGTCCAAAGTTGAATGTTTCCACCAACATGTGCCTGTAGTTTGCCAATGTGAGTGATTGATGCAGTTTGGCTAACCTGCCAGTCGGAGGAATAGTGACAATGCGGTTTACATGGTGTTGCCAATTTAGTGACTTTGAGTGTGCACTTGAACAACTGTTTTTCCAAAATGACAAATCTCGCCAATTTCGACTGTAGCCTGTCCTGTAGCCTCCCTCCTCTTGAAAATGTAAACGTCATCATATTTGGCGACAGGGCAGCCCATGGTCTACTGGTTAGCACGTCCACCTCACTGTGCAGAGGTGCAGGTTTCGATTACAAGCCCCAGCTTTCCTTTGTGGAGTTTGCACGTTCTCCCCGTGCTTGCGTGGGTTTTCTCTGGGCACTCCGGTTTCCTCCCACATTCCAAAAACATGCATGGCAGGTTAATGGAACGCTCGAAATTGTCCCTAGGTGTGATTGTGTATGTGTGCGAATGGTCGTTCGTCTATGTGTGCCCTGCGCTTGACTGGCAACCAGTTCAGTGTGTCCCCCGCCTACTGCCCAAAGACAGCTGGGATAGGCTCGAGCACACCCCGTGACCCTTGTGAGAAGAAGCGGATTAGAAAATAGATGGATATTTGGCTACAGGTGTGAAAAGAGCAGAACATTGTTGTTAGTACCTCTAACTCACTCATGTTTGAAGTAATTCAGTTAAGAATAAATACATTTATTGCAAAAGACAATTTTCTTCAATTATAATTGGGTCATTACAGCTTCCACGTAACTACAAAATTCCAATCAATGGACCTTGTTTTCCAAAATTCATCAGTTCAACTATTGTGAAAGCTATATGTACAGTGAAACTCCTCTACAATGAAACCTACATGGGCGAAAATACCCCCTAGTGTGAAAAAATCTTCATGCATTAACACCATTCCCACTCTCCTGCCCCCCCATACAACGAAAAACAACCCTGTTGCGTTATACAAAATCTTTTTCTCTGCTCTTGCCTCGCGACGAGATTCACTACAACGAAGTCTAATCCAATAGCGACCTCTACTGCTTCGTTCGGAAACGGCAACAGCAACCACCACACTGGTTTACACATGCACAGTAGTCCAGGAAGTATTTGTTATTGTTAGTTTCAGACGCAGCAAGAACGTTGCATTGCTAAAATGGCTACAAAACGGACCTTTGGATGTCAAGCAGCTAAGGCAAGAAGAGCTCTGACGCTGGAAGAGAGGGTAAAAGTGATCAAAATGAAAGACGGAGGAAGCAAAATAAAAGACATTATCCAAGAAATTGATGTAAGTGAAAGTGAATGGGGTGTTTGGAGGTCTTTACATGGAGGTGGGTGTGTGTGTGTGTGTGTGTGTGTGTGTGTGTGTGTGTGTGTGTGTGTGTGTGTGTGTGTGTGCCTACATCTGAGATCAAATTTGCTGCAGTGAAAAACCCCTTGTTGTGAAAAATTTCTTGCAAATAGAAATACAGGTACTTACATTCCTCATTGTCATAAAACGGCAAAGCGGGATGCTCCTCAGGTGATGGTGAATAGTCCGGGCTCACTTCATATTCATCCACTGGACCAGCGACAAGAGCATCGTGGCCGTAAGGATGCCGCCCGGCAAGGTTACACATGGACGCATAATCAGCTAAGACAGCAAAAAGAAAAAAACAGAAAAAAAGTTTAGGATATTTTCGGGGAAAAAAACACTACAGTACTTGGCAAAAATAAGCAAAAAGACATTGCGAGCCTAATACATTACCAAGACAACCAAACTCAACCAAGAATAGCACTGAACTCGAACCAAAGGCTCCATTAGCTACCAATATTGGTTAACAGTCAAAGTCCAGTGCCATTCAAACTAGCATAGGACTTAAAAAAAAAAAAACCTTGATTAAAAGCCAGGTAACTCAATGAACTTATAAAAACTTTTAAAATGTAAAATCTGTTAAAAACAAAGCAATGCAGCCCGAGGTTGTTCATGCAGCTAATCACATCTATCCACACTAAGTCTGGATCAAAACAGCTGAACAACACCACTCATCTATATGTAAGAAGAGACCGACTGTGGTACGCAATCCAAATCTGCTAAAAGACCTCATGGCCGGTCCATGCAGGCCAGACGATGCCGGAGTTAAGAAACCACCAGTTTATTTCAAATGGAAACGCTGCCCCAGGGTTGCGGCTGTGCTGGAGCCTATCCCAGCCATCTGTGGGCAATAGGCGGGGTACACCCTGAACTGGTTGCCAGCCAAATGCAGGGCACACATAGACAACCTATTATTTACACTCACAATCACACCTACGGACAATTGAGAGTGTTCCATTAACCTACCACGAGTGTAAGTGGAAGCCAGAGTACCTGGAGAAAACCCACACAGGCACAGGGAGAATATGCAAACTCCACACGGGAAGGGGGAAGGCCAGATTCGAACCCCTCACCCCTGCACTGTGATGCCGGTTATGCTAACCAGTCGACCACCGTGCCACCCGGCCATGAACATAACTGAACAATACCCAGTGGCAATAATAAAATGATTACAGGAGGACATGGATGATACTAATACTCGTCACGATGCATCATGGTCCCATGAGACTCAACAGATGAAAACCCAAAGAGGAAGAAGAAATCTTGTGGAGGACTAAGTCTGTAAACTGATCGACAGAGCAAGTGGTTATAATGAAGGAATCGGTAATTAATTTAAATAAGGTATGGGATAGTGGCCTGAAGTACAGCACAGAGATCATGGGTGCACAAGATGCTTCTCTGGAACTACAACCATACAAGCTGCAGGGTCGTATCACAAAGGAGAAACACATTAAGGCAAGAAATTAAGACTGGACTGCTGATGAGGTATAAAAAGTTCTTGGGTGCACTTGATGAAAACTCAAAAGAGCAGAGCAAATTTGAAACAATCACCTCTCCATTTACCAGCCAGAGTATTGGACAAGGTGCAAATGAAGATCAACGAGTGCCAGCAGCTGAGAGGACAACAGGAGCATTGTGTGGGAGGGAGTCGCTCGATCGCAAATTAGGAGCGCTTACAGCAGATTACTGCTGCAAAAGCCAATGTCCAAAAGCCACTTTCTCGGCCCGGTTTTGTCATTTGCAGTCAAATAAAAAATCCCAGATCGTGTGGCAGATTCAACCTGGTACGACATACTGTAACAGTAACAGTGTCCTGTTTATTATACGGCATAGTGTACCTGTGTTTTTGGGCGGGCATAAGGCACAGTCCATTCCCCATGCCTCTCCAAAGAGACAGCAGCACTCTGTGAATGTTGTCTTCCTGTCGTGACCCACCGGCAGAGTACATGTCATGGATTCTGTCACCTTCTGCCAGCAGATACCTTGGAAGTCCATCTGCCCCACCTCATGTTGGTCTGGGGGCAGGGACGGACACACACACACACACACACACACACACACACACACACACACACACACACACACACACACTTCTTTTAACTTTTTCATGCACCCTGTGACCTGATAACATGATAAGATGTCCACTGTAGTAACCGCTGTCCCTGAAAGGGTTAAACATCGATCCAAAATATGTGCGAAAATCATGTTCTAGTTTGTTCGTCTAGCTTTAGTAGAGCAAAAACGTAAATCTTACCTGCTACATCAGGAACAAAGATGCAGCTGTTACTGTTGGGATCCAACACCATAGGGTGATTACAGAAACAAATGTATGACCCTTCGGTGTTCAAACACTGAGCGCCAACACACACCGACTCATCAAGGCACTCATTTATGTCTAGCAGAAAAGAATTAGAGATAAAACAAAACGTGGATTACTTTGTGGTAAAACACTCAACACTAGAATGAAAAAAAAATCCTTTGGTGTGACACTAACGATCTATCTGTCCATTTTCTATGGCTTATCCAGGAGCTGGAGTTTATCCAGTTGACTTTGGGTGAGAGGTGGAGGCAAATGATCTTTCTTTCGCACTCACACCAATGGGCATTTTCGATTCTTTGGTTGACCAAAAAAATGCATGGAAAGCCCACGCAAATGAGAACACAATTCAAACCCAATTCACACAGAAAGGTCAGGGCTGATATCTGAACCCACATCTTCGCCTGCATCACAGCTGTTAAATTATTTGACAGAAAATTTTATCCAGTATATGGGTGAAAGCACACCTCTGCACTCCAGTTTGGCAGGGTCGTAGTCTTGTCCCGTCTTGCAGTAACACTCGTAGCTGCCCACCGTGTCCTGACAGAAGCCTCCTTTGCACACCTCCTGACCGAACAGCATGCACTCGTCTGCATCTGAAAAAGGCATGTCAATAGTCACGATGTGCAATTTGAGCTTACAGTCGTTTCAGAAAATGTTCGGCACGCAGCTGCACACAACGTACAAGGTCAAAGAATTGTAATTACGACACTGACAAATTTTTTTCATGAAATGTCACACCCCAAGCGATAGGATTTGTTTTCTTAGCTTACTTTTGTAGCTCTCAGCTGTCGGGACTTCATAAGGCAAATCTCCACTTGGGATAAATCCTTTTCCAGACGGACACATCTGGTTGAACTGGTCTGAAATGAGGCAGGGATTTGGATATTAATTCGGCAAAAAAAAAAAAAAAAAAAAAAAATCCGCTGCTTGAAAAGCTCAGTTCATGGAATTCGAGTGCGAAATATAATGTCTCAATATCTGGAATGATTTTTGGCACTTTTTCAAATCGTATCAGTGAGACAAAGCTCAAACAAGTGTCACCCAATATTCAAGTTTGCTAGCTCTGTGACTACAGCGTGCTCAACACAATAGCTAGCAAACTGCTTTTCTGCTGTACTCCAAGTGCTGACCACTAGCTTGCCAGTATGAAGATCAGTTTTTAGAATGGACAGATGTCACAACCGGCTGCATTTAATCAGTCCTGCACTGTTTTGCTGCTTTCCAACTGATCAAGCATAACATCGCGCAAATATATCATCATCGCGATAATAGCATGTGCAAAATGGCGTATCGCAAAGACGTGCGAAAAAATTCATCTGGAAATGTATGCTGTGATCTGACCATGAGCAATCAGACCAAACCTTAAATGCACATTGCCATCCAATTGGAGAACATTATCTTGGGGCATTACTTACACACACACAAAAAAAAAGACTTGATTAGATAAGAATGCATTGAGCCTGCTTATATTTTCTCATGAAAAAATAAATCTTTCGTTTGATAATCATCATCATCAGAAACATCATCATAATCATAATTAAGATGCAATTTCTTTCGGTATATGTTAACACTTTCAGGCAGAGTGGTTACTACAGTGGACAGCTTATCATGTGAACGGGTTGCAGGGTGCATGAATGGGTTAAATAGCGCAATACTATCGATATTGCGGGACTCAACACCCATACTGCATATTTTTCCAGTGTCGTGCAGCCTTAATAATATGGATTTATGGAAGAAAATGAGAAATACTGGACTGTAAAGTGAATATATTTTACATGATCAATAAATAATGAGGCACCTCAACTTTCATTTAACACCTTTTTTTTGTAACCTTCAATATCTATGTTTTCTGTTTCCATGGAAGTGTCCTATTGAGCAGAATCATGCTGGAGCAAGCAGTTGTGACATCAGAGCAGCCTGCATGGATGCAGGCCATAGTTGGCTTCATATTGTTATTCTGCAGGCCACAAACTTGATGAGTCTGAATCAACAGCACCACTGCCACGAGCAGCCAAGTCATGCACTCAGTTTTCATCAACAATCAATTCCACGCAATTGACAGAATTTGATCAATTAATAGATTATCATGCTAATCTAGAATCATAAAGACCACCAAGGGGACCTTAAAAAGACATGAAAAAAAATGATGTGTCAACAAAACGTAACATTTTTGAGATCATTTTCTATTTGTATTTGTAAATTATTTTATGCAAATGCTTCCCCTTGAAAAATCTTCACCATTATCCTGTAAACTGAGCATCACTTTCGGTTTAGGTAAGAAGAAATGCTGAACAGACAAAGGGCAGATGCAGCGACATTCGCAAAATAACTAAATAAATGAAGTAATCGGAAATATGCAACAACGTAATAACAACGCTTCAGTATGCATCTGATACGACCCTTGCAGTTCCCACAAATTCGATTCAGTTCATAACATCATTTTCAAGTCGGATTTTTATGCAACTGGTACTCTATGTTGTATTATCATTTCCAGGCCAAAAAACTTACCTGTGCCATTGACAGGACAAGGGTAAACCTCACAGTTGTCACCCCAGCCGGCTCCCAGTGTGCAGCAGCACTCTTGCAGGGTGACATGGCTTGTAAGCACACTCTCACACAAGTTTTCATCATTCAGATGGAAGTAGCATTCTTTTCGCTCGACTGATGACACTGGAAGGTGAAGACACAGCAGAAGAGATGCGTTGCGGCGGAAAGTCTTAAATGTTGTGATTCATGTCATTCGTGCAAAGTGAAGAAACAGATGACCACAAGTGCACATCCATTTGACACTATTAACCTCAAAAACTGAGGCCTTATGAGCATTTTCTATACAACCACTTTCGATGATGTTCTTGGCATTGGAAGAGTGAAAATGAGGTCAATGGCTGGCATATAGTAAAGATTTCAATGTTTAGTGAGATTCCGGGAAAAATGGGAGGGAAAACTGGCTTACTTGCACATCCCAAAATGCACTGAATTATTCAAATTGGTTAGCAGCAGGTGTGGAATGTAAATGGTTGTGTTTCCCTGACTCCTGCTGAGCTCGCCTTCAGCCACCTGATGTCGCCTCAGATTACAAATGATGCTCATTCACGTTCCAAGTTCATCTTGACGAAGACATTTCCAGTACAGTACTTCAGGAGGTACTTCATTTACAAGACCAAAAATTCCTCACCTGTGGGAACGGGCTCACATCTGGCGACCATGACGTTATACTCTTGGCCGCTGGGACACGTGCAGACGAAGGAACCATCTATGTTCACACACTGAGCTTCTCCACAGACACTACTGAGCAGCTCACACTCATTAACATCTGTAGCGGAATGAGAGTTGAAAAAAATAAACGATTGTGTTTCTATGCTTAGTATGTTGTCTTTATCCATTCAAATCCAGCAATAACAGAAAAAACATCAGGTATAGTGTGCAATACATAAGAGTACCGTATTTTCCGCACCATAAGGCGTACCTAAAAGCATTAAATTTTCCCAAAACCCGACAGTGCGCCCATAATCCCATGCGCCTTATATATGGCGCAGAGGCGATTGCTCTAAGACTGCAAGGGACGCTCAGCTTCCCCTAAAATGTCAAAAGACAAGTGATCAAATATATGTGTGTACATACAATGGTGTGTACATGTCATTGACTAAATATGTGCTACAACTCGCTCAAATTTTGTTCTGAATCAGCTTTTTAGTTACGACGCGACTCTCTTCTCATTCATTCCCGCAGCTTCACGGTGCTTTAAACTGTGTGGACGCTGAGCGTCTCCAGCGCGGACGCTGGGTGTCGAGAGAGTTCAGGGTAGGTTGTCCCAATGCATTGAAACGAGACGAGTTTGGATAAATGCTGGTTTTGTCCCGCCCATCGGACGCTCAGCGTCTCTGGGAGTCTATGGACAGTGGGCGTTTATGGGCTGGCCCGGACGCTGAGCTTTTCTGAATGATGATTGGATGATCTGTCTGAGGCAGAATCTCTTTTAGATTGACAGCGAAATGAGCCAATCACCGATCTTTTGGGGTCCGTGGGAGCATTTTTCAATTCTCATTCTGTTCTGAGTTGAACTGGAGACTTATTCGATGAATCTTAGCGACACTCTCTTTGTTGAAAACGACGAGCGACAGATTAATATTTTATTTCTGGTGTGTTTTATTGTAGTTTCTTGTGTTCGCAGACTGACTTATATCACCACAGTTAAGACCCAGGAAAAGACGCCTTGTTGGTATGACAGGGTCACAGATTATTTTCTTGAAAAGGAATGGAGAGTAGAATTCACGTATAAAAAAAAAGGACACATTTTATGATGTAGGCCGAAATTGAGCTTCCCCTCCTTGACAGACCAGCATCCGCCATTGATATGGCGTTAGTTACAGTCTGTTATAGTCCCCATTGAGTTGTTTTCCTGTCAGTGTTCCGATGCCATCTAGTGGTGATTATTAGCAGGAGCCATTTATAACATAAAAGGGTTCTGTCTGACACTAATTGACGTGTGCATTCGCCAACACACACTCAAACAGAAAACTACTTTCTGAGCTCTGTGCAGCCTTTAAGGGACATCCTAACTTTAAGGGGCTAACTACTTCCTAAACGAAGGAAGAAGGAGACAAGCAGGACTTGAAAGGACATTTAGCCCCTTGTGAATGTGAACCCGCAAGCTTGGTGTGCCTTTTTGTTGAATCAATTGTCTTCATCACTATTGTCTTTCATTTCTTGTTTTGCAATGCCATTTGTATTGATATGTTTTATGTCCATGTTTGTGACCAGTTCTCATGGTTTTGTTCCAGCTGCAGTGGTTGGAAATGCTCTGTATAAATAAAGCTGTATTGTAGTGTATTCCCTTAGCGTAGCTCCATCTGGTGGATGCATAGGACAACCACAGCCACTATTGCAGCTTCTATTCTATGTGCCTTATAATGCAGTGCGTCATATATCTGAAAAAAGTTTTAAAATAGGCCATTCATTGAAGGTGCTCCTTTTACTCCAAAGCGTCTTATTGTGCGGAAAATACAGTAATAATAAAGTTTACAGTTTGGCTTTGAAGGACTTAGAGAATCTTCAACCTGGGCTGAATATCAAGAAAACTACAATAGGTGGATGCCACATATGTAATCAAATACAAATGCTCAACTTCAAGGAGGAATTCAGTTTTTACCATTTTGTACTGCATGCATGACACCACACAAGAGAACCACAGAGAGGTGTACAGACAATGGCAGATGTGAGACAGCAAAGGGCCGGTGGCTGGAGCAATATTGCAAATGTGCATTTGTTTTGAATATTTCAGCAAGAAGTGGTCATTACACCTTTAGGGCCATAAATCTAAATGATTAATACATTTGTGTGAACATTTTTTTTCTTTGCATTTTTTTTAACACGACTTCATACGATGGTGTGAATTTCCTCCATGTTTATGCAGTTGTCGCATCCTAGTGGCGTCCCTTCTGTCAACACATGACCTTGACGATTAATAGTTCTACAAAACTGCTGCAGTTTTGATGAATAACTCGAGATTAATCACGCCTCCCGTATCAGTAATATACAGTGCCTTGCATAAATATTCACCGCCTTCACTTAATTCCAAATTGGATTCAACAGAGTTGTCTCCTCAGAATTATTGACACAACACTCCATAATGATCAAGTGAAAAACAGTTGGTGAGATCCAAATATTTCATGGGCATAAATTCTTATACCCTTTAATCAACAACTTTAATCAACCACCTTCCAAATTGTGTTGAATTTAACGGGTATACAGTAAATATTCCCATCCCCGGAATTCTATGAAAAGGAATATCCTTCACCCGGAACAAAAGCCTGTGCATTAACATTTTGACTACGATATTACATGTTACCGGAACTTACCCGTAACGTGGATTGAGACGTCATGCCGCGGGAGCTGAAATAAACGCAACGCCCCTCCGATGCTACGGAACGACGACACCGAGACACATTTTCACTTCGCGTTTTTCGATCATCAGATTCGAAACGACGACGTGTAAGTAAGTTTTTATTGGCGTGCGTTTTTACTGTAATTGTGAATGATTTTAACTTTATTCACTTAACGTCCTGTAGAACGTGGCACTAGCTTAAAAGCAGCACCCACTCGACAGGATCAAAGAAACGTGTTCGCTTCGCCGTTTACATTCATCAGATTTGAAACGAAGACGTGTAAGTGACTTTTTATTGGCGTGCGTTTGACTGCAATTGCGAAAGATTTTAACTTTATTCACTTACGTCGTGTAGATCATGGCATCGAAACGTAGAAGAACTGTCATGACTGGAGCGGAGCGAGTGAAATGCATCCGTTTGAGCAAGGCTGGACACAAAGTTAAAAGCATCCAGCAGACACTTGGGGTCGGAAAGACGCAAATCCACGAAGCTTTAAAAAACAAGGCATCGATTCAACTCCTGATGACAAGCCACCATCCAGCGAGGAAGCAATGCAAATGGCAACAAATCCATCAGTATGCACAAGAATTACCAGACATCGGTGATCAACGGGACAGTTACTTGCAACTAGCAACAAAACTGTATGACACGCAGGCAAACATTGTCATAAACCAAAGAATGCATCCAACCAAACAATCCAAAATAGACACATTTTTTTTCCCCAAGACAAAAAAAATAAACATTAAAATACTGTACATATTTTACTGTTGTGATTTTTTTTGGATACACCTGTATTGCAGTTTTTGTTATATAATGTTTTTGGACAGTATATTTTTGTATTTTATTGATTGTGTTGTTACACGTGCATTTTTGTCAACATACTTGCAGGTTCATAAAGGACATGTACCATGCTCATTTCCCAAATGAGGAATTTCTATTATCAGGACAAATTGGACAGCGCAAACACGAGTCCGCACTAGAGAATATTTACTGTACTCCAGTCAAGTTGTATAAACATGTCAAGGGTGATGAGTTGAAAGCACTCGTGTTATTTGAGGTATCTCGAATAAATAGGCAAACATTTCAGGAACATGAGTCAATATGCGGTGTTGTGTAAAAAGAAGACCGTGTCAATTAGTGTGAGCAATCATCATCAATATCGGGGATGCTGCGCAACAGACATGGCAGGAACACCAGACTCTTGTCTCCCTTTGAAACTCTTTGCTTCCTAGTTTTGTCATCTCTTTTTGTCTGTGTACTTAACAAATGGACATTTGTGTGCGGCCTGGGCTCTTTTCCAGAAAATAAAACTTTAAATTCCGAGTGTGTGACAAAGGTAGCTGACCTTGGATTTAGACCGCCACAGTTAATCTCTCCGCGTTTCCTTGACAGATTCATCCTCATGTCAGAGCCGAGCATGGAACGTCTAATTAAATTGCCCGTTCAAGTCAAATGTAGGATATTTAAGATGGAAAGGTTGATGGAGATTTTACACGGTGCAAAGGGATAAACCACAAGAAGACCATGAGAGACTGAAGTAAGATGAAGTGGACAATGAGGGGAGGGAAAAAATAATAGAAAACACAAGTGTCAAGGAGAGCGGGGATAGACAGAAAGGACGGAAGGCAGCTAGACGAGAAGCAGTCTAAATGGTTCGCGGTAAACCACCACTGCACGATCGTGTGCTTGTTTGTAAGTGAGTCCATCTGTTCTAGCCGCAGTGCAGTGAAGGCTTGGCAGTGAATGAGGCAGCTGGCTGGACCGAATTTAGGTGCAACCTAGCCGGGGCTGCCAGATGACAGATGGGAAGTTTGTGTGTTTAAAACACACACTGCATGGAATTAGAGCGTTGTGGTGATTACGGTGAAGTAAATTGCCACTGGGATAGCAGTATGTGGGAAGGTTCATCGTGCCGAGGAGTAAATCAGAGCAGCATGTTTCCAATTAGCCTGAGGGAAGCTGCAGCATCCATAACCTCCTGGTCAAACGTACAATTTGTAAGCAGTCTGAATAAGAAGCACTGGATGTTCCGTGCTCTAAATCAATACAAGAACACATACAGCATCAAAAAGTTTACGGATCTCTTAAGGAATGGTAACCTCAAACCAGATCGAACAAAGTTCTGTTACCCGTAGGCTATTTCTTCTTTTTTTTTTTAACTGACAGACTAGTCACCAATAAAATGTTTTTGGTTTGAGGAGGAAGCAGAGATCCTTGCAGCAACACATTGCAAAGTGTGCTGGATGAAATCAGTACATCCCCTCGACTCTGTTTGACATGAATAATGCACTGACGTGGAAGCCCGTTGCGGCACCCATTTGAACACAAATACTGCTTAATTAAAAAGAAGAAACTCAAGACCACACTCCAAGTCATCAAGTTCTGTGACTCGGAGAGCTGCTAAAAGAAAAAGCTCATTCCCTGCTAAATCGCAGGTCTGACTACTTGTGGATTTCAAATGTGAACACATCATGATAGGTCTATTTTTGTGATTTCTTAGGAGTCAAATGTTTACATCTATGCAAACAAATCGGTGGTCGACTGTCGTGTGACCGAAATTACAGAGTTCACTGTACGTATTAGATTTCTGTGCATAGTTTACAAAGGTCAACCTATGGTGGATTCAAAGATTTCGTTCTATTATAAGGGAAGATATTGCATTCAATTGAAGTAGGCTACTTCTTTCGTTATATTATAAGATGGGACACTTACCCGTGCAGCTTTGGCCATCTTGGCTTTCTTGGTAGCCCTGGTCGCAGAGGCATCTGAATGAACCCAATCTATTCTCACAGAAACCATGAGGACTACACAAAGTCTCATTGAGTCCACACTCATCAATATCTGTTGATCAAAAGAGAACTTATCTTACTTCACTGATTTACCTTTAAAGTAGAAATACTACAATATCAAGAACTTGACAGTAAAATAACAATAAATTACAAGCAGTACTTGACAGGATAACTATGTTCTGACATTTTTACAGTAGCCCCCAATTTAGACATTTTAAATCTGCTATTGAATAACATGTCCGTTACACACTCAAAGCGCCTTCCATGGATATATTGTTCATGCACTCGCACATTCACCCTGTGGCGGTACTAAACCATGTATGTAGCCACATAAGTCGCATGACTCGGACAGATCAGGGTTAAAACAGCAGACCCTTTGCTTTGAGGAGGATCTGCTCTAACTGCTGAGACGTGGCCACCCTATATGTTGACGTTTCTTGTATTTTACTTAAAGTGTGTATCTTCTTGTGCTTCTAACTTGACGCCCCATTTTGAGGTAGTGATGGGGAAACGGGGCAATATTGTAAAGTTTGATAAATAGCTGGTGTTCCCATCTTTGTTTCTAGGCTTGTATATGCCAAAACAGTGTGCCCGAAATCCTCCTGGCTCATTTCAATGCAAGGTGTTGTGTTAGAAACACCTGCAATCAGTGATGGGAAAATGAAGCTTCAGATTTGCTTCATTACCAGTTGTTGTAGTTTTTGACTCGTCTAGAACATACTCTTGGTCTAAATAAAGTGGTTTAAAAAACAGCAAGTTAGTGTGATTTCAGCCCAATACTAAACAGACAGTGCCATCTAGAAAAGTCAGAAAAATACAACTGTTTCCTGAGGCACATTTGAAGTTTCATTTTCTATCACAAGACATTAATAAAGAAGCGCAATGTATTTTCTGTTAAGTGGCGGAGTTAGGAATGTGGTGCCTATTACCACTGCTTGACAGGAAATGTTTTATACTGTTAAATTACAGTTGGTTATTCTTCAGCACCCATTTACTGTTAATTTACGCATGTGGATGAATATTTAACAGTATGTTACAATTTATTCGAAATACAGAAAAATACTGTTCTAACACCAGAAATCTACAGCAATCCATAGCTTTATGCTGTTAAATTACAGTTATCACTTGTTCTTGTTAACTGATTGATTCAACTGTTAATTTAAACGCTAACGGATGAATATTTAAGTATTTTACAATTATTATATAAACAACCGTTAGATAGTGTTGTAAATTCATCAGAAGTTTAGTTTACAGAATTGAGTTTGTGTATTGTACAAGACAGCAACAACAAAACACACACACACACACACACACACACACAAATGAAGAATGGCTGGGGGGATGTTTTTGAAGGAGGCAGCCAGATTACCCACGCAAACAGAAATACATGAAAAGTCCAACGCAAGATTCTGCCCCACTGCCAACGGACTTTGAGGCAAACGTGCTAACCACTATGCGCCATGCTGCCGTGTTTCACCTTTTTTGGGGATGTTGTGACGACGGCTACGATACTATGCTTATACTGGTACCAAAAGTAGTGAACTGGCCTTGTTTAGTATGTGGTTCCCTTTTGTCATCCGCCACTTCTTAATTCATGCTGGGTTTCCATTAGACCAGTCTGACGGACAGGGCAAGTGCTTTGCCCCCACGGTACGGCTCAGGGATAGTTTATTAACTGAGTCGTTATAATGGCTGCTGACATTTCACTCTCATATTCTCTCATATTCTCTGTCAAAGGAACTTTCTAATGAGCCGCTGATGTGCCGAGTTAGAGAGGAGGGATGAAGAAATTTTCTATTTGCACACTTCTCCTGGCTTGTCCTGCTGTGTGTGTGTGTGTGTGTGTGTGTGTGTGTGTGTGTGTGTGTGTGTGTGTGTGTGTGTGTGTGTGTGTGTGTGTGTGTGTG